CCATACAAACGACTCATTCACGACATAAACATCACAAACGACCGAAAAAGAACGACCTAACTTTACCGACAGATCGAAACAGACCAATCACGACCGACTTACGTCACTTGAGTCTTACAGCCAATAACATCACGGCAAAACCAACCGATCATTTCACACGAACTGGAATAAGAACATTCTACTGACAACAATCATTCACTTGACTCTGATGATGACTTCCGCACAGGTTGTCGAAACGTCAGTCACTACCACCGACAACAGTCCTTCTCAGGACTACACTCACCCGGACGATCAGACTACACCTTCACATGTTACCCCCGGGTTCAAGCCATTTACTGCAAAATAGGATGTAAAAGCATGTCTGGTTCTGCTTTTATTTAAAAACTGGCTCAGTACTGCATAAATTAACTATTTGAATTGACCAAGTCCTGTATTTGGGCGATTTCAAAATGAATGTAATAAAGTGATAATTGAACCTCGTGTCGTGCAATTTTGGTCTGAAATCATACTTGTGATTTCAAATTGAACTCACGCTGCGCGCTCGTTCGATTTTGGAATCACGCGTATGATTTTAGCCTAAATTACACTCCACTCAGTTCAATTACCATTACATATCCTTTGATTTCTAAGCCAACTCGCATAACTTCCACAACTGCAACTTTGGGTCGGGTTGTTCAAATGCGGGTTAAGATAACCCAGGGTTGGTGTGAAATTTGATTTCAGATCTGAAAGCTTCAAAAGAAAATTCAGTATAATTATTTTTGTGATTGGGTGCTCTGAAAAGAATAAGGTAAATTTTCCCAAAAAGATTCTTGAATAGAAAAATAAGGAAACGGGGATTAAAATTTAAACCTGGGCTAGTGCTAGTCGGCCTTCGAACAACTGGACTCTGATTGATAATATGTTCACAAATAATCTCGAACACTGCATAGTGGCATTCTCTGATTTATCTGATCATCTCCCAATTTTCCAAGTCACTCATTAAAAATTAGATGCTGAAACACCTTCCAGAGATTGACACGCCTCATTAACTCTACAACAGTTGCAGCATTCAGGTCTAAATTGGAAACCATTGATTGGTCCGTTATCTATAACTGTCTCTCCCAATGACTCCTCTGACACATTCTCTAGTCTTCTTATTTCAGCCTTCGTTACTCCCACCGACGCATATTTCGTCCGACCCATATTTCGTTACTCCCACCGACGCAGCCCCAAACAGTTTCTTTCGAAACTATCAGCCTTTATTTCAGCCTATCATAGGTCATTTCCACTTAATCCTGTATTCCCTGAATCCGGGCGTTCTTCTAAACCCTGTTTTCAAAAGGTCTCTTTGTATCCTGTAATAGGAAGAACTCTCTTTATAAACAATTCCCAAAAAACCCTACTGAATCAAACAAAACTAGATATAACAAGTATCGAAATAAGTACAATTTTCTCATTAGGGTTGCTAGGAAGAAATATTTTCATGACAAACTAGTCTCAGATAGCTCAGACCTGAGGAACACTTGGTCAGTTATTAAGCAGATTATTTCTAAAAAGAAATCTGAACTACATTTTTGTAATATGAAAGACTGCACCGGTGTATGTTTAGACCCTTCACGTATTGCCAGTAACTTTAATAATTTCTTTGCTAACATTAAGGACCCTCTCTGGCCAGTAAAGTTCCACCTACTCAATTTTCTTGTAAAGATTTCCTTGTTGGTCACTTTGGTGACTGTTTCTTTCTAAATCCCACTTATCCTGATGAGGTGGCCTCTACTGTTCGTTGTCTAAAAAATAGCAAATGTGAGGGTGTGGATGGATGGTCTTTGTATGTCTCCCATCAGAGAAACAATTGATTTACTTGCTGCTCCTTTATCTCATATTTGCAATCTATCGTTCGAACATGGTGTCTTTCCTGATAACCTCAAAATCGCAAGATTATCCCAGTTTTTAAAAGTAGAAGAAGACTTTATAGCTAGAAATCTGCGGTGTAATCGTTTTCGACTCGGAAATAACATGCGCATTGGAAATATCCCAAACAGGAATTAATTTACATTTTATCGTAAGATTCTAACATAGCGTCGAAAATAATTCAGTTTTCAAATTTCGGGAATTGTAGCGTACCATATCGAGCGAAGATAAAGGAAGTCTTGGAAAAGATTATTTAACTAATTTCATTTGTGGAATGGGGTTCAAAAGAAGACCATAAAGAAAGAAGAACGGTCAGTATTTTATTTCATAGATGAAGTCATAAAGCTTCGCTGACAGTTTTGTTTTCTGAGATCTAGGGAATTTCCCGAAAATCGATTCGAAGCTTGAAAAAATGCTAAGGTGTGTCGGGGATCGACTGTGCTGCCTCCAAAATGGGTAAGTTTCCCAGTTTCATTATCGGTGGTTTCGGATAAACACCATAAATTATTTGATCAGCGCTTGATTTGATATGTGACCAAATTTCCCTGAAAGTTATCAGGGACATCACAAAATTGTGCCAGTGAGCATAATTCCGGACAACTGGTTTTGGCATTTCTTCTCCTTTTTCATGATTTACATTGAGAGAAAAAACCGTGCCCTAAATCATTCTTCAAGGTAAAAAATTATAATTTTACGCGTGTGCAGTTACGGCTTTTCTTGGACATTGAAATCCTCATAGAACACCGCAGTTTATATAATGGAAATTAAAGCTGCTCATTTTTACCGAAGTGAGGCTACAAGTCATTTAGTATCATTCA